TGTAAACAGTAAAGTTTGATTTAATTCCTACACAGCCCTGCATACACGTCATGCTTTCATATACAAGAGACCATTTGGCAGCGAATGTTGTCCTGTGGAGTTCAACAACTTGGCATGAATCACTTAGTTGGACTTTACGACGGCGATCCAGATCAGCCAACATGTGTAAAGGCTTGTGTGCCGTTAACTCAATGATTTAAACTCACGGCTATCGCTGCTCTGTCAGAGACAAACAGTTTATGTACGGTTGTAGATTTTAATGTTCTTACCTCTAATTCCCTGTTTTTCTTCTTTTTATTCGAGTTTAACGATTAACCAAACAACTGATTAATAGTTTGAGGCATTTTTTTGAACCAAAAAAAGTCCCAATTTTCTGATTCTACCTTCTTAAAAGTGAAATATTCTCCGCTTTCTTTGCTCTTCCACGACAGCTAACTGAGCATCTTTGGATAGTGGACAAATCAAGACGTCAGTGTCGGTTCAGGAAAACAATAAATGACCATTTTTGAAATTAACGGCTACTACAAATGAGTCAGTTTAGTTTTGCTTATTTATTTCATTCCACCAAAATGCACGACAGAGTGCCACATAAAATCATTCCTGACTCAGTAAAGTCACTCTGGATTCATTTTGTTTAAATCCTATTCACTTCTTCTTGAGCTGACAATCAATAATGTGCAATTACAACTTCTCTGTGCCATAATACTAACATAATTCTATTTTTATTTATTACAGTGCATGCTTATATCTTACATTTTTACATTTTCTGCTCATCTTTTTTTGCACTTATGCTTATTTTTTAATACAAAATCTTGACCCCATTTTCCTCTAAAACTAGTAAATGTGGTTTGGCCCACTTTGGCACCAACCCCCTCATTTATAGATATTTGTGAAATTTTAGATTTATATTTCAAATATTTTCAAAGACGCATTTTTCAAAAAGATTGCCCGCAGCCCACTTTCAGAACCTTTTTTTCACTCGTTGAATTCTGAGGCTATGTTTGAGCTGCAATATCTCAGGAAGTATTAAAGATAAAAGCCAGAAATGTTCTCTGCTATTTTTCATCATCATCATCATCATCATTAATTCAGAACCTCTAGAAGCTTCAGACGTCTGTCACACCTGGATTTGTTTTTTGCGGTACAACTTGTCCTAACAGTTACGAAAGTTTAATGAAAATAACTTTTTCTTTCATTTTTATGACATTTTTTATGGCATTTCATATTGAAAAGTATTTCATAGGTTTTGTTTTGATTTATTGTGACACGCGACTACATAGAGTTCAGAAAATATCTCAGGTGACTTCTGCCTGATCTGTTCTTATTTGGGATAATGTCTGCTCAAAGATGAGACTTTTATCGATGGCTCACCCATAATTAGAGATTATTTGATCTGTTTGTCCAAAATTGCAGATTCTGAATCAATGGCATGATGAGAAATAACAGTGAAAATTTCAGGCTTTTAATTGTAATTGTTCCTGAGATATTGTTGTTAAAACATAGCCTCAAATTTCAATGTGCAAAAAAAATAAAAGAAGTGCTGAAAGTGGGTCAAAGGGCGATTCAAAATGAAATAAATAATCTCTGAAAATGCTCGATGTGTCCATCTAAAATTTCACAAATACCACTTTATTTATCTATAGTTTAGAGACGGTTTGGCCCCTGATGAGTCGAGACAGAATAACCCGTATATCTATTTTTAAAATGAGAAGTGCCTGCTGGAGTTCAAACATCCACCACTGATTGGGAGTCGCTATGGGAGTCATTCTTAAACATACGTACTCACCGGGGACTCGCCATGTCTTGTGGAAGGTGGAACCACTCCTGCAGTTTGGACTCCAAACCCACTCCTACCTGCTCAACAAAAGAACAGAAGGAACCTGTTTATCAACTAAAACATTTCTTCTTTTCTGCTCATTTTATCTGAGCTACGTCTCTTTGCAGTTATTTAAAGTGAAGCACGAGTGGATAAAAAGCCTTTTCCCTGATTAAATCTTCTCCAATCACTTGAAAAAAAAGCTGCAATAAAACAGTTTAAACTTATATAAATGACTCTGAACATACAGACACTCACAACCCACCAATGTTCTTATTGTTATGTGACAACCCAATGAGGGGACATTACCGAAGGCCAAAGTTGGACACTGAGCTCCATCAAGGGATGAAATGACAAAGTGTTTGAGCACGTATTTGTTCAGAAATGATGTTGTAGATTTGTTGGGATTTTCCTCCAGCTGACCAACAAGCAACTTGGATTATATATTCATTTTAGCGGAGTAGAAGCGGAGCTAAAATCATGAGGCTCATTTGATGATTCCTGCTTTGTCTTTGCAGCATGAACGCATGTATTCAAGCTAAAACATCATATTATCACAACAGTGCTGGATGAAAGTGGCTCAGTTGGTCATTTAAAAGCCCTGAATCCTATTTTTTACAATTACCTGTGACTAATTTGAACCCAAACATCCTTTTAAAAAGTCTTTCAAAGTTAAAACCCTTTTGGCAGTTTCACATCAGAGTATGTTTGCAAGCTGCAAAAGTCAGTCTGTGGGTCATCGTGGCTAAATGTGGTCCTTGAGACGTCTACAGCAGCAGGAAACACCTTCCACAATGTCAGACATTTAAACGTCTGCCTGTGGATTTGATCAGTGTGGTAGCACTGCAAGTCACAAAACGGTGGAGATCAAGTGAAGTTTGAAGATCAGCGACCGTCTAATTTGGCTGCACCACACTAATCTTAAACTTCTTCATTTTGATTCCAACTCCACACCTGTGAAGTTGTCTGCACCTGTGACACTCCAGTATTGACAAAAAAAATACATAAATCTGTCCACAGACATCCGGCCAGACGAACAAACACCTGTGCTGAACTCAGAAGTGTCTTTGTGCCAGATTCGACTACAATAGTCGTCTACATTTAGCCGCCATGACACACACAGACCACACACACCCACAGCTGCAGACACACTCACAATATCAAACAACACCAGCTGCTCTCGGCGGTTTGAGGTGGGTGAGGCTCAGCTGGAAAAAGAAAAAAAGTGTATACAGTCGTCCTCAGATGTATTCATACCCTTCCATTAAAGAAAAGGCAAAACTTACAACAGTCACTCAAAAAACTAGAAACTGAAAAAAGTAATAATAAATAAAAAATGTGCTAAATTATAATTTTGAGAAATGAGACGTTGCTTTTGAATTGTGGTTGAAAAGAATCATTTGAAAAAACAAAAAACAAAACTGTCCCAGACAAATTAGAGCTCTTTGCTGATGAGCAGTGGGCCAGAACACCTGTCAGCAGGTGCACAAGTCTGACTGAGAGTTACAGGAAACACCTGACTGCAGGGATTGGCTCAACAACATATTAGTTTTCCCCTCATGCTTGTTTGCTTGTTTGTTTCTTTTATATATATATATATATTTCTGTTAAACCACAACTCAAAAGCAATGTCATGATGTTCATTAAATTTTTATTTATTATTACTTTTGTCAATTTCAACTCATTTCAGTGATTTTTTTTCCTTCTTTAATGGGAGGGTATGAATACATTTGCGGACCCTGTACCTCAATGGACTGAGTAGGATTTACATTTGATTGAACATTTGACGTCAGCAGCTTGTGCTTATGTTGTATAAACTCTGATGAAGTCCTGAGGAAGCAGATTAATGTGTTTGAAGTTGTGAATGAAGTAATAATATATAATAACTTTGCTTGCTCAAAGTTAATCCAGAAGAAACTCTGGATTTGTTACGATTTTATGAGATCACGGTAAGCCCTGCGATAGACTGGCGACCTGTCCAAGGTGTCCCCTGCCTTCGCCCTAAGTCGGCTGGGATAGGCTCCAGCCCCCCATGACCCTAGTGAGGATTAAGCGGTGTATAGGTAATGGATGGATGGATGGAGATCACAGTAAGGGATGCACGATATATCGGCGACCACATCGGTATCGGCCGATATTAGTGTTTTTTCCGACAAATTTAGCCGATGATTGTCTAACATCAGCGCCTTCGTCTCTACGTTTGATATCGCTGCTATGTCACAGATGTTTCTACTTAAATGTTCCTGGACTGAAATATGTTTTACTTTTGTTATAAAGAAGACTATGTGGTCTAATTTGGGCTTCTTCTCAATAGTTTTCTCACAGTGCTTACTTACACTCATTTTTTGGTGTGAACAAAAATCAACATTGGTGATATCAGTTATCAACGATGTCCGGAATCTTAATATCGATATTGGCCAGAAATTTTAATATCGTGCATCAGTAGATCACGGTTTTAAAAATAAAATAAAATTACTTATGTTTTCATGAATATTTAAATACTACGTTCCGCATAACAGGCCCTAAGCGCCATGTTCACAATGAGTGTAGGATGCACGACTAGCGCTGTCTTGCCTTCACGAGGTAAGAGCCAGGCTCCACTGAGCATGCCCAGTAGTGCCGTCCCTGTGTGATGGCTACATCCCCCACCAGGAGGTCAGAAGTCAGGTGACAGGAAGTGAGGGCGTGGTCGGCGGCCTGCAGCAGGGACAGGCCGGGGACGCTGCGAGCGCACCGCTGCTCTTTGCTGACCACCAGCCGGTCGGCATGGAGACCCCAACGAGAGTCCAGGTAGAAGTTCAGCACTGGGAGGAGGAAAAAAAGGCAAGAGAGGGAAGAGGAGGAGAATGAAATGAGAGAAGACGGAGAGACTTCAGAAAAGACATATAGGGGTTGCAGTTTGGGAAAGTGGTGCAGATTTACAGTCAGAAAGCAGCGAGGAGACGACAAGTGAGGAGAATAAGAAGCAATTAAGGGGAGAGGAACAGGGAGCAGGCATGCACCTCCTCCTACCAGCACTGGAAGAGAAGAAAAGACATTGATCTATACACTGATGACTCAGGGAGTAAAATACAGAAGGTATCGCAAGGAAGTTGTAGCAGTGGGGAGTGCTTTTTTTTTCTTAGTTCCAGAGGCAGTACAGAGGGAAGATACGCAACAGCAGGAAGGAAAAAACAGCCAACGGGGACACGAGGAATCCACCAATCACTCAAAATCGACCATTAAAAAGCCCCAGATCTGAATCCGATCCATGTTGTTAAGCCTCGGGTCTTAACAAACTGCAAACCTCATCAGCGCTCGGACAGATCTCGATGCAGGAGGCAGAGTGGGAGGCGGAGGAGGGATTAGTGGGCGTCAAAATAGGGGCGGAAGAACAAAAGAATGTGTAGGATGACCACCGAGAGAAAGTGGGGAAGAGGAAGTAGTTATGCAGCAGCGCGGGGACGTGAATGCACTTCTTACGTTCTGTAGGAGGCATGTAGGCTGGCAGCGTGGAAGTAGCACAGGAGAGGATGACAAGGACAAAGCTGTGAAATGGAAATAATGCATGAGAGAAAGGTGAGGAAATAAAAAGAGTCAGAAAGTGGAAATGGGGGGAAAATGGGCAGAAAAAAAGAAAGAGAATGAATTTTTAAGCATTTCACCATGGCAACCATTCTAATGCTTTAATTGTTAAATAATAGTAGATGTGACGAGGTGGATGACTTCTGGATCGCAGCACGATTTGTTTTGGTTTTTTTGCAGTGACTCAGTCAAAGATAGCAGGAAGACTCTTGATTAATTGCATAAAAGATATAAAAAGAAATGCCAAGAATATATGACACATTTTTAACACAATGCAGGCGGGTGAAGCTTCTGGATGTTATTTTCATCGTTTGTTGGCACTTGTCCTGCTACTAAATATAAGATTATAATTACAAGTTGACTGCAGAGATCTGGGAACGCCCGAACATCTTTCAAAAGCAGGTCAAACGCAGTTACGTAATCAGTTTTGGCCACAAAGGTGTCGCTCAAAGCCTCCGTGAGCTGAGAAACTACGACTGGGTGTGTGCTTTTGGCTGTGCTTTCTTTCAGATTTCCCTCCGGCAACAATACTTTTATAATCTGGCGGGTTTGTTGCTGTGCCGACAACTTATTAAAATGCGTTTTGTTTGTGTTTCTTGGCCCATCAGATTTTATTATAGTGAAGCGTTCTGCATTCCCACATCTCAGCTTCGGTCGGAGCAATGTGATCATAATGATCGCTGCAGAAAACTGAACTATTCCTGAAAAAAAAGATAATAAATAGAAACCCTTTAACTTCCTTTAACCTTGCGATCAGTGGTAACATCCTAGTCTTCAAGCTGGCCAAGCAGCAAACAATAGATTTCAACCAATTCTGCATTTTAGTCCATCTTAGAAGTGTTCAAAGGGACTGATAACAGTGACCTGATTTCACCTCACACTTCCTGTAATGTAATATGGAGCAAATATTCAACAGTCCTCAAGCTGAACCACGTCTACTGAACCATCACGAGTGGTTTCTTGCATTACAGCACCACGACGGAAAGTGAAGAATTAATCAGCATCAGATTATGGTATATCTTAAACTGCTGTGAAGTGAAGCTCACGTTAAAATGAGGAAACGGCGTGCAGAGAATAGACGAAGTGAGGAATTTACCTCGTGTTATAACACGATACTGATCCAGAACATTTATGACACCCTAATAGAAAGCTCGGTGAAAGAAAGTTAAAGAAACAGAACAAACGCAATGTGATGACTGCAGGTAGGAGCTTGTTACAGAGAGCAGCTATAAAAGAGTTCAAACTGGGTCGTATGAAGCAACTTGTGAGTGTCGCCGCATCCTGAAGTGGAACGGCACATTGTGTTCCGTCACATCTTCCTCATTCGGCTCACACCCTCATCCCGTATTACCTACATTTGTTGCACAATTTAGGTCATTAACTCCAAATCTCCAAACTAAATGAGACAGTTTGAATCATCAAAGTGATCCGCAGACGAATAACTGTGGAGTTTCTGTTCGCATGTAGTTCAACGTTGGCTTTGTGTTGCTCACCCTCCACTGCAGCAAGGCTACTGCGCACTTCATTTGTCAAAGTCAGGCTGCTGGATCCTCCTTAAGAATACATTTATGCATAGAAAGAGTGCCCTCATCTCTTCAATTGAGCTCACGTTAGGAAGCGTATAGGTAGGACAGGAGGACCGATTGCACTAACCGATGCATCAATAAGCAATATTGATGCATGAAAGTGATTTCTAACCAGGAGCGTGTTTGTTTTCCTAAAAGCCCCCTTCACACCTCGTTGAACTAGTTTGACACCGTTCTGTTGTTGCAAAGTCAAAGTCTTTTCTGCTCCCTTGTTAATGAGGACAATCAGAGAAGTGCAGCGTGTGGCCTCCTCACCTGGTGCAGGCGGGGTGTGCAGGTACACCTCCTCGCTGTACTCGCCGTAGCCCGCCTTGTTGCAGCCTCTCACCCGCAACACGTACACGCTGTCCATCTCCAGCCTGTCGATCACAGCGCTGCTCCCGCTCACCTCGTCCAGCCGCTGCCAGCCCCAGCGGGCGGCCGACAGCCCCCCTCTGATCCCGCCTCTGGATGCCCCCCCTGGCACCACGCCCCGACGGCGGTACTCCACGGAGAAGTGCCAGGCAGGCGCAGACTCCTGGGGCAGTCGCCAGCACAGGAAGAGCTGGTCGTAGGCCAGGGTGCGCTGGGTATCAATCACTGGAGCCTGGGGGGCTACGACAAGAGCATGTTTAATGGGGTGTTTCCTTCAGTAACTCCCTCGTGCCTTTAATGACGGCAGAAAAGGGAAGAAGCTGCTGTTTTTTGCTGCGTATGCACTCTTACTACAAAGTGAGGAGCTACTGCTGCTGCTGTTGTAGCTAAAATCATTTGTACAGTTTGAATCAGGAGGCCTTTTTTTTTTGCTTTTTCCCTTTCACCCCAGGTTAACGTGTCACATGCATGTGCGACCATCTAATTAAAAAGTACACGTGTGTTAGGAAAGTCATCAGACTCCCATCCACCTCCTTCCTTTCTTATCTTGCACCTTTCTGCTGTCACCACCCTCCCTCTCCTCACCCTGGATGAAGTTCAACTCCGTCAGGAGTTTCAGTTCTTTGGAGACGTCCAGCTGGAAGTGTCTGAAGGACGGGTCGGCTGCTAAAGTGAAATGCTGGAGATTCTCAATTGCTTTACTCAGCCTGGTGCAGTGAAAACACACAAAAACAACAACGACAGGGGAAAGCAGAGTTAGCAGAATCAAGGAGGAAGAGTATTTACATAACGGTTGCATCAAGACGGGTGGGAGGATGAGACGGAGCGATTAGGTGGGAGGAATTTTTAAAAATATCTTGTGTCTTTGACCAAATCCCATGAATGAGACAAAACCAACATGAGTCCTCTGGATGCTCGCAGTCGCTCACTGCTGTGTTGGTGTCCGCCCCAGTTTTATTAAACAGAACCCACAGAAACATGGTTTCATTTGTAAACATTGTGTTTCCTCATATAGCTGTTGTTTTAAGCTAATCTTACTCATACAGACTTAAAAAGCATTTGCTGTTGTTTTTTTTTAGGCAGCAGATTAACACACACTTGGTGCAGTGGTGAGTGTTTAAGAAAAGTGTACAGTGTGTGGGACTGGTTCTAAATAAACTGCTGTGCCTACAGTGAGAGAACACATCGTCCACTGTGTAACTTCTGTTTTAATTACCTAAACCAGTGACGGTCTACGGTACAAGGCTCTATAAAACTTGTTTAACTGTAAACTAAATTGTATAATTCATCCCACTCTCACCCAACCGGTCGAGGCAGATGGCCGTCCCTCCCTGAGCCTGGTTCTGTCGGAGGTTTTTTTTTCCCCTGTGGGGGTTTTCGGTTCCTTCCCACTGTTACAGACTGCTTTTGGACTGCTGAAGCTTATAGGGAATCCAAGTGTTTTGGATTGTTGGGTGTTTCTGTTTCTGCCTTTGTTAAGCGCTATGAGATGACTTGTTGTTGTAAATATGCGCTATACAAATAAAATTGAATTGAATTGAATTGAAAGCTATACCAGGTTGTGTGTATACATGTGTCACTTGTGGGTTGGATTCATCAATCACTGCTTTTCACTAGATTTGCTACCAACGAAAAAAATGTACAATATCAACACTTTCTGTTGTTTTTGATATGATATGTTTGGTGCACGATGGTAAATTTAAAATAAGCGAAATGTAGCAATTAATGCCCACTTAAATGAATTCACCGTCCCAAAAGTAATCAACTTCTAACTCTTGTGAGTCCACTCCCTACATCCTACAAGAACGTTTTTCTTCTATTACAAATTGGCTTCTGCAGAAACTGTTGAAACTAAATCTGGTTCTAATGACACAAGACGCAGCTACAGACAGACAAAAGTAACCTGGGACCATGCCAGAGAGAGACATGCCAACGTTTATCAAACAGAAAACCTGTTGTGAGTTTGGCGAGCCGCCTGCACAAAACAGGGCTGGTCCGTTTCCTTCAGCAGTTCCTGGGTAAACGCCATGAGCCCTGCGTGTTCCATCAGACCCCGTCTCTCTGCCACTTGAGCAGCCAACGCCTCGCCGCGCTTCTGCCGCGCCGCCTCCAGCGCCTGGGTGAGCGAGGCGTGTCGCTCGGCCAGCGCCGCCGTCAGGTCCCTGATGCTCTGAGCCAGCTGCTCTCTGGCCGACACGCTGTTCACCTGGAAAAAAAAAACACACATAAGTTCATCCATCCATTATCTATACACTGCTTAATCCTCACTAGGGTCGCTATCCCAGCTGACTCAGGGTGAAGGCAGGTTCACCTGGACAGGTAACCAGTCTATCACAGGGCTACACTTAGAGACAGACAACCAAGCACACTCACATTCACACCTACGGACAATTTAGAATCACCAATTACCCTCAACATGTTTTTGGACTGTGGGAGGAAGCCGGAGAACCTGGAGAGAACCCACGCTGCACAGGGAGAACATGAAGACTCCACGCAGAAAGATCTTGGGTGTCCTCACCGGGATGCGAACCGACGACCTTCATGCTGCGAGGCAACGATGCTAACCACCGAGCCACCTTGCAGCCCCACATAAGTTCAAACCTTTAAAAAGCTGACATCGTTGGGTTGATTCATAATGATTTTTGTTCCCAAAAGCAGCAGTGCTTTTATGTTGACGACAACAAAAACATGTTAGAATGGACAGTTTACTATGACACTTACAATGCATCAGATGTTTTTTTGTTTGTTTTTTTCGTAACTATGCAACCTTCTCTGGCCCAAAGCAACACTTGCTTGCACCCACATACGGGACTAGACAGGCGAGAAAAACAGCTGTGGAGTCAAACATGTTAGATCCCATTGAATATCTGCAGCAGTTACAAGAACAAACAAACATGTGGCATCCAAACGGTGGCATTAAAAAGCAACATACATTTGGTGTGTAAACAGATTAAACTCTGTTGTGTTTGCCAGCTCCAGGCAGCTCATGATTAGTGGTCTTAAAAGTCCAAATTCATGTACGTAGAAATACATTTTCCTTAAAAGTGTGCAGCTACATATTGCATTTTAGGCATTTCATTCAATACATTAGCATTCTTTCTGTCAGCTTTCAACAATACTGACTGATGTGCAGTTTTCTGCAGCCAAACATTATGAAAAAAGGGGGAACTGATAATAAAAAGCAACAGACAGGAGCCATGACAGTGATGGACTTTAGCTGCCTGCTGGCATTAATTCCATGTTCAGCAACATTTTGTTGGCCAAAAGTATTAATCACCTCAGTCTGAGTGATGCCGCTCTCCAGCTGTGTAATCTGAGCCAGAACTGTGTCCTGGTTGGACAGAATGTAGTTCATCTCCTTCGTAATCTTCTCCTGTCAAATTAAAGGCAAAAACACGACGCATGAAAAACAAATACACACAGGTTTATAGTAACTCTTCCTTTAGCGTGTCTGATATATTAAAAGCTGCTTCTTAACATTTTTCCTACATCAGACGTCACTTTGCCAAAAGATTGATTCACTCAGTGATTAAACTTCTAATAAACTCACAGTACTCGTCAACTGATTCTAAAATTAAAACGTATTACTAACACAAAACATGACTTCAAATAATGTTACCGCAGTGGAACCCTGACAGAAAGCCTGATAAAATTCAGAGTCGTACCTTCAGCGCTTGGTACGCCTGAGCCACGGGGAGGATTTTGTGGCCGGTGTGGATGCGGCGCAGTTTGCAGAGCGGGCAGAGCAGCCGCTGACAGGACCTACAGTAGAACTGCAGCTTCTCCTGATCGTGTTCTGGACAGGTCAACACCTGAGAAAGAGAGTCGAATTTAACATGAACTAATTCATCTGAAGCGCACTTTACCCGAGGGAGGGAAAAAAAGAGCAGAGCAATGCAGCAGATGACTATGCAAGTGTAACGTGTGCACAAATACGTGAAAAGAGGGGGGAAAAAAATAGGTCTACGGAGCTATTACTACGACATAATAACACTGTTGGGTATAGTGAAGGAGTATTTTCTGTATGTTTTTGTAGGGTTGAGCGCTAAAATGTAAACTACTCGAGTATCATCACACCTGAAATAATACGAGAGGGTTCTAGCTGCAGCGTTTAGTCTTGTTAGTTGTAGTCTTGTTAGTTGACTTTCATAACGCCATTCATAATCCTGTTTTTCCTGGAAGACACTTTGGCAGAGCTGCTGTTGTCTTAGATGGGCTGTATAAAAATGTCTTGACTTGACCTATTTTATTTTTGTTCTGTGTTCGAGATCTTATTTATTTGTTTAATTTGTTCTCTAGCAGTAGTAGCAGTAGTAGCAGTAGTAGCAGTGGTGTCAGTAGTAGTAGTAGTCGTAGTAGCAGTAGCAGTAGTAGCAGTAGCAGTAGTAGCAGTAGTAGCAGTAGTGTTGCTCCACCTTTCTGTTTCTTTTGTGTTAACCTAATCCATGTGGATCAGATAACAATGGAGAACAGCATGTCCCAACTCTGATCTGAACCTGTTGTGACTATTGTGCTCACAGTTATGTAAGGTCTGTATGTGTCTGTCATCTAAGCACAGAAACTGAAATTATTTGTGTCATGTTGAACTCAGGGTGTGTTACAAGTTTACCTACAACAGGTTGGGTCTACTATTAATAAAATGAATGATGCTGTTAGGGATGCCTAGCCAGAGTTATTGAATCTGTTGACATTTACAACTGTAGATTTGATGGATTAATGCTAATACCTTAATACACAGATGTTTTAATGTCTTATAACTAAACCACAAAGGATAAACAGTAATAACAGAGGAGCTTGACATTCAGTCAGGAGAAGTCACTTTGTTTGCACAAGAAGCCTGAAAGGCCTCACCCAAAATCTCCTTCCAAAGAAGCAAGACAATTCGATGTTACATTACAGCCACTAGCTGTCAGTATTGGAACTAAGAACGAGGTGGTGATGAGCTAACCGTGGCAAATGTGATCACCTTCCACCAGATGTGGTCACTACTGGATCCAGACCTCAGTCTGCATCTGAACCGAACACCGAGTTAATCCGGACCCAGCCCACACCTTATGTTAGAGAAACTGTGCGATAGGAAATGCAGCATTTTCCAATTTGAAACGACTTTTCTACTGATCAATGAATTTTTGTTTATTTGCATATGTGCAGAATTTTTGTCTTTCTGTAATATAGCAGTAGATATTCCAACATCTGTAGCTACATCTGGTGAAAGACGGTTAAGAATTATGGATTTTAAAGCTTGAGCTAATGTGTTGTTGCGTTATTTCACTTCTATTGCATTCTGAAATTCCTTTCATTATTTAAGTGTACATTATGAACCCTTTGTAGAGCACAGGGTGTTAGAAGATGGTGCCGTTTTTGTCTTTCTGTTTTGTGTTATTGTTTTAGAAAACGGATCTGAAAATAGAGTTTATGGTATTGCATGTAGATGATTAGTAAGTGTCTTCTGGTACCTTTGGTCTGAAGTTGAGTGTAGGCTGGATATGTTCGTGTTGTGCCCGTGGCGTTCCCCATGGGTGATAGAGCTTGAAACACTCGTTGCAGAAGTTGGACCTGCAGTCAGCGCAGCCCTTGGTGGCCTCCAGAGTTTGAGGAGGCTTACAAAACTGGCACATCACAGCCACACTGCCCAGACTCACTGTGTGTCTGTACCTGGTGGAAATAACAGAGGCCGGATCAGACTTTAGTCATCTAGTTTGTACCACTGTGATCAGATTTTCTAATAAGGAGGACCACTGGTTACTAAACGAATTAAAAAGTTAAAGTCAGAAGAAGGTGTGAAAGGTGCAGCTTCTGTGCAAATAAAGCAAACAGTATCACATAAGGGATGAAGTGTACACAAAGCTGCTGGACTGGAAACACGCAGTCAGCAGGGCAGCTACAGTATGTTGCACTGCACACTGCAGGTTTCTTCAACGGTTCGGTTGCTGCTGAATACTAACAATTAGATTTGGAAATGTTCCCGCACCTTCTGTTTTTCAGGTCCAAGCCATCTATTCATTTACATTCGGCACTAAACATCACATGCAATGAATGACAATATCCCAGCGTGGGCTAATTGTGCAGATCTTTACACTTTTTCTTTGTTTTTTGTATAGCATGCGAATGTCCTGACTACCTCTCCACTATACGCTCCAAGGTGAGGTTGCGCAAACAGTCGGTAAGGCCCTTGTCTCCCAGCTCGACATCTCGCCCGCAGGGGGCACAGGGGAACATCATCACCAGGGGCGGGCCTTCCTTACGACGTCGCCCGGGATACGTCCCATATCCAGGAGACCGTGGCATGGACGGCGAAGGAGGATGGGGACCTTAAACCGTGAAGTTATGAGCAGTGGGAGAAAAGCAAAGATGAAGGTAAGAGTGTTTAAACATGAAAATACAAGGCTTTCTTCCCCGTCTTCCTCGCTGCATAAGAAAATGAACTCCTCACACCAATAAACCTCTGAATAATCTTTAAAACAGAACGTTTTATTGACACAAGGAAAAGATGTTCCCCTTCTCTCCTAATTGAAATATCAACAAGCGGTGCTGCTAACCTGATCGCAGCACGCGGTCGATGGGCCGCTGCTCGGCTTTGGGTGTAGGCCTGCGTGCCTGGCGAGGTGAGCGGGTGTTGGGTGTGGATGCTGGGGAGTTGGGCTCTGGGGGAAGCTCTGGAGGCGGGTAGCCGTTTGCCACCAAGACCTCGGAGGCACACATGAGACAGACGCTGTGCTGGCATGGCAGGACCACGGGCTGCTTGACTATGTCTTTACACACAGGGCAATGCAACTCGTGCTCCAGGCTCTTCATGTTCGACTGTTGGAAGCAAAGAGGTGAAGGTTACGACAGGATGAAAGATCTCCGAGATGGAATTAGTTTGTGTTGACAGAGCTTTAGGAGTCTAGCACATGGAGGATCAACTGTTCACTTTTAATTGGATTAAAATGAAGTAGGATTGTCAGGTAGGGCTTGGTGTCTTTCAACAAGCTCTGAAACTATAAAGGCACCTCCAAATACAAGTACACAAACCAACAAGGGTACTTCACAAAGTTCTTGACCTCACCAGAAAACACGAGGTGTAACTCCCGCTTTGGGTCACAGCCTCTTATCACTGTCCACAAAAACGTCCTCAAATTGATTCATACCCTCGAATTAAAGAAGGAAAAAAAACACTGAAATAAGCTGAAATAGACAAAAGTAATAAGAAATAAAAAATTTGATGAAAATCATGACTTTTGAATTGTGGTTCAACAGAAATATATATATATAAAAAAAAACAAGCATGATGGGACTCGTACACTACTATTTAGTTAAACAATCCTTTGAGCCAATCACTGCCATCAGGTGTTCTCTGTAACTCTCAGTCAGACTTCTGCACCTGTTGACAGGTATTCTGGCCCACTGCTCATCAGCAAAGGGCTCTCATTTTTCCTTGACAGTTTTTTTTTTTTTTTTTTTTTTTTTCAACCACAATTCAAAAGCAACATCTATTTCACTAAATTATAATTTAGCAAATTTTTATTTATTATTACTTCTTTCAGTTTCTGGTTATTTGCGTGACTGTTGTTGTTCTTTAATGGAAGGGGATGAATACATTAGAGGACGCCTGTATGTGGCGGCTCAAGATGTGACCTTCTCCACAAAGCGATGCGGAAGCTTGGACATTAAATGCATTAAAGTTTAAGGAGACTATGTTGAAAAATAATGCGAGTACCATCTTTCTCCTGTGGCCTAGAACAGTTTGAAGTGGCCTCATAATGCTACAGAAAATGTGATGTTTAAAAATGTAAAATCAGAAATGATCTGATTCCAGAATGAGATTAGAAATCTGACCAGACCAGTCATCTTTTGACACTTGACAGTTTCGATTCTCCATTTTATGGACACGTTTTTGACGGTTTGTCAGTGGAGTATTCTGGTTTGAGAGCCAGGAACAAGCAACACAAGAGATAAGGAGATTGAGTTTAGAAGAGACTGGGCGATGTGAGAAAAACTGTCGCAGGCAAGCGACATAGGGCACCAATCTTGTTAAATATGGATAAAGACCAGACATTAATTATTCAACCTCTGCATCCCTTAAACCAAAGCCATGCATATGAACTCAGGAAGCTGCACATATGCTATGACTGTTACACATTCTTACTAAACAGCTGAACATACAGATGTGAATGTACATCATGTGCATCCACAAATCAGTCTTCTCATTTCTCTTATTTCTCAATGCATTATCACTACTTCATTAATGCAGCATTCATATGCTACACAGACACTGGTGGCCTCCTTTGCGAGACACGAGTAGCATTTGTCTGTCTGGTAATCAGTTGATATCAACATATATTTTGTATTTCACTGCTGAACCAGTGGCTTCAGCCTGTGAGTGAATAGCTGCACCAGTAGGGCACTCAGCATGTTGCCACCATGCTCAAAGACACTGATGTGACAGAAAAGGACACTGGCTGTTGCAGAAACCTGTGACTTCACGCCAACGGTCACTCCAACTGCACGACGGCTCCAACAGAGGAGCGATACAGATCTGGTTAGAGATCAGCTTCATCGTCCCCTAAACATCCCAGCATGTGTGATAACTCCACAGATTTAGTGTTAAGTCAGTATTTGTTAGTACAGCACAGGAGGAGGATGTTCTGCCAGTGAGTAGGGGCCTGCTTTCTTCTGCTTCATAGACGCCCTTGACACACATAACCTCAACCTACAACCAGGCCTGCTGCAGGGTCAGCAGCAGTCAGCACAGACGCTGTGAGTTCACTTCAAAACCAGGACGAGACCAACGCAGTGACTGTGCTGCATTGGGGATTTGGGGATTTAGTTAGTGTGATATGATGTGATGCAGCATCAGGGCAACTTAGCACAGCACACCATGAGCCATGCATAGGGAATCAGTGGATGTGATATAAAGGTGATGATAGGAAGAAAAACACTGACACGATGCAGCTGCGTGACCAGACTCACACAGACATGTTGACTGATGAAAGCTTGCATAGTCACATTTTATAAAACCTAGATGCCAGTTGAGACTGAATAAGGCTTCTGCTAAAAAAAATTTTTTTTTAAATAATTTAAAAAAAATCCAACCAGCACTGGAGCATAAAATTGGATCAAATGGATTAATTTAAATAACCTACTTTCTCTCTCAGTCAGCCTCAGTCTCTCTGTGTCTTTCCCCAATGTCAATTTCGGCCTGTCTTTCTCTCCTCCTCTAGCAGTTTAGCCTATCAGGGCTACTGCAGTTTCTGCAGGCCACATGCAACACAGCAAACTGTGGCCGTCTGCGTCCATCTCAAACGGACTGTGCGCACCGCTACCGCTAAGGCCGGGGTCCCGAAGGCGTCACACGGGCACCGCTGCAGGGAGCGCATCCTTACCTTCACCTGGAATCTGGGCGCCATGACAGTAGACTACGTGTATATATATTTCCAGCATCAGGAGAGTCTGCCTCCTGGTAGGATGGGAGGGGTCTGAGGCATCTCCTCGCGAGCGGTGGAAAGGACCATGGTGGCTGATTGTGAAAAAAAAAAAAAAAGACGCTGCTCGGTATTTGCAGCGCTGCCTTCAGTGTGGCAGCCTGTGCGCTCGATGTGACCTTTATTTCGACTCCATCACTCTCTACTGTAACCGTGTCTGAAAGCTGCGTGCATGATTTAACCCCATAACGTCCGATGCTACCTGCAGCATCCGAGCACGCTTTATTCTCTTTAGCCTCAGTCCTGCATCTCGTCTCCATGGAAACGAGCATCCAGTGAACCCAAAAAAGGAAACGTGACATTTCTATTTGCACTTTTTGAAACATTTGATTTTATTTACAACACCCTTGCACCAAACCACAAAGCATTCTCTCTTTTTTTTTTCATAGAAGAGGAATGAAGCTCGAGTCTGGTGAACCGGTTGCGGTACATCAGCTCCTCCATTTTTGTGGGTTACTACAGCGCCAGACATCGTGTTCCGTAAGCACCGATTAAGGAAAACAAATATTTGAAGTCATTTTTTAATTTAAATGGCTTTTAATCTGGGTTCAGAAACGCACATGATTAAATGAAATAAGCCCATTTCTCAGAAATGTCGCCATCCACACCGTAAAATTCTTATCTTTTTTTTTCTTTACTCAAAGATCCTGGCGTGTCTTTTTTAAAACCATAAAAATAAAAATGAAAAATCATACCATGAAATCAGTGTAGTGACAACACATAAACAGATATATAGGATACTCACGCTGATACGAACCAAAGCTTCCATCGCTGATGTGGCCGTTTTTAAATCCATCTCTGCCATTTTAAGAAGATAACTACCCCCTGTTTTCATCATCTGGATATAAATTGCGACGAATCTAGGCCACGGCCCATGCAGAACATACTAAAAACACAGAAAATGTAAACTTTAGCTCTCTTGGTTATAAAATTCTGCAGGTTGACCGTGTAGTAAATTCTGCGTTTTTCCTGTTTTTTTTTTCAGTAGACACCCAATGTGGACATTTTTACGCACGCAAAACCAAAAGACTGATACGCATCGCCATGTGATGCGTTTACGCATAGAAAGAAAAAAGAAGAAGAAGAAGAAGCAGTTTTTAAAAAATAAATAAATAAATAAAAATGTGTTGTAAATTTCTGTCCACGCTGAACAGTTGCCTGTGGCTTTATTCCTCACCCAGACGTCCCGCCCCCCACCCTTCCCATCCCGCACCGGATGCCTTCAAATGATGAGGCGCACAGCGGGGAGAAAGCCTGGTGCTGTTGGACGCCACTCTGAATCCTCTTCCAGTCAACAGATTTGGATCTCTGCTCAGCTAGAAGTCACTTCTTTCCAGCAAATTCTTCTGCATTTTGAGAACATATGAAGAGTTAGTGTAGATAGATAGATAGATAGATAGATAGATAGATAGATAGATAGATAGATAGAATAACAATAAGGCTACATACTGATTTCTCCTTTGTCCTTCAGATGCAGGTGGATGCTGGCTCTTCTGTACTGAGCCATGCGCTTGTGGAGGGTTGTTTTGTCTCCCTGATGTACAGGTCTGGGCACTCGTTGCTGCATTGGACTGTGTACACCACGTTGCTCTGTTTATGTCTTGGTGTTTTGTCCTTAGGGTGGACCAGCTGGTCACTCTTTTGAGGACAATATTGTACAGATTTTGGCCAGGGAGGACAGATGGTTTGAGTGAAAGAGGCCATCTGTGTCAAACTGGAAAGACCATCACTCAGCAGAGGTGGAGGTCTGAGGCATCACCTCTCACCTGTTCACAATTCAGTCCTAAGAACTCTCCCCAGGAAGATGAACCCACATCCACACCTAGCCACAAAAGACCTTAACGAACCCCATTGTGGCAGGGGGAGCACTAACGACTCGAGGGAGGAGCAACAAACCCCCAATTGAAACCGAAACTCAGGTGTTCATGGCTCCTTAAGGATATCAGTATCTTGAACTCCCAACTAGTCAATCAGAGCTGATGAAGCCTCTTGGATGAGAGGTGGAACATCTTCAAGGAACTAAACTACAAAAAATCACAGCTGGAAGGGTCGAGGTTCGAATCTCGCCCTGGGGTCTTTCTGTGGGGAGTTTGCATGTTTAGACTCAGCAAACTGCAGTCAGGAGTTCTGTGATTCTTCTCACAACCCAACCCAACCAGTTCTCATGCCATCCACCACTCCCAAAAAGTACCTCAGAACGCACCATCATTTGAGCATTGAGGTGTGTTTGGTTGCGTAAGACCAGTTCTGTCTGCGTCACACCCAAATCCAACAAGACAGCAGCCAGCCTGCACAAACAAACTGGGACAGACAGAGGGTTTCTTGCATCCTCCAACTCCGGCATTGCTTTAATATTAGGAAAGCATCAACATCTAAGTGTTGATAAGGTCACAGAAGTATAATGTTCCTCTTCTTTTTAGCTGCATGCCACTAAAGGACTAGATGGGCTGCCATTGTGCTTGTTTGAACTTGACTGAGCCACAAATACTTGCTGCGCAGGACACCTTCAACAGCAGGGAGTGGCAGATCTGGGGAGAGTTGGCATCTCACCATCTATTTAAACCCTCGCAGCCTGTCTTCTCCTCACCGTGTGCACTCGTCTTTTGCGTCCAGGTAAGAACGGGACAGAACTAAAGCAGCAAGGACACACATTGTTGCTTTTCCTCGATGCCTTTGTTTTTCTAGAAAACTCCATACGAGCTTTGCCGACAACATTCCTCATATTGTAGCTCTTTAAGATGTTATGTCGTACATTTGAAGACTTATCTGTGATCGTATGTTGCATTGCTTCCAGCAACACTCTCTTAAATGGCTTGTATTTGGATTTCAGGTACTTGTTCCAGTGAAGCTACCTTTAAAGGTATGTGAAAATCTTTAGTAGAAATGCTAGACATCGAGATCAGAATGTTTCAGAAGTAATAATCGCGTTAGTTCAGCCTGCCTGCATTCCTGTACCTCCTCTTGCAAAAACACAACTGTACAGCCAGATGACTATCAAACATGTTGTTGTTTAGACAACTATTCTTTGCTTAGATCCTCTTCATCGTGCTTTTCTAGCCTATATTGTCAGACATAATACATAAGTCCAAGATGGAAGGAGAAAGGTCAAAGAAGAGTTAGAAATCAAACAATAT